GGAAGCCGAGGGGCAGTTGGATCCAGAGACGGGGAGGGAGGCACAACCCTCACAACCCCCTCCCAGCACCTACACGGTGGAGCCCGAAGGCCAGGACCACCTTGCAAGCGCCAGGACGGGGCGTGGGGGACGTACCTACCTCAACGCTGCCGCGGGCGGCCAGGGAGCACGGGGCCTGCGGCAGGCCCGTGCTCACCCGCACGAGGCCCGCCGAGGCGACGAAGTGCTCCTCGAGGGCTCCCAGCGCCATGAGCTGGTGCAACCACCACACCCAGTCCAGCGCCAGGGCAACGTACGGCATGCCCACGTGGAAACGTCGCCGACGTGGCAAACGAAGGGGACGCGGAAACACAGCATCTCGATCGAACCACGGCAAAGCAGACTGGCGCTCCCGCCACTTAGAGAAATCAAGGGCCAGCAAAGCTGCAACCACAAGAAACTCGGACGGAAGTCACCAGCCTGGCGACGAACGAACCTGCCGCCCCAAGGGCACAGGATTTGAAAGCAGAACAAGTTGTCGAAGCCACCGAGGATCAAACTCAACATCTTGGCTCCATATCGGTGTGCAGTCAGGGCTGCACACTCACTCCGACTCTTGGTCATCATCGTCATCATCGGGAATGTGGCCTAGCTCCACGGCCTCGCGAAACTCGAGCCCGTACGCCAGGAGAATACGTGATGTATCCAGGAGCCTCTGCTTCTTCAGTGGGGTCTGAACGGCGCTGCTGCTCAACTCCAACTCCCACTTCTTGGTCTCTAACCATGTTCCGTGCTGGCCCTGATGGCGACCGCGGAGACTCGAGCCTGACATGAGCTCGAATCGCTTGTGGATGCCTGAGATTATCAAAGTGCCGTCGGTTTTCCACTTCGCGGCCACCTCCATGCTTGCCTTTACACTTCTGAGCCAGCCTTCGATGATTCTTAGAATCAGAACAGAAATACTGGCAGCACGTGGAACAGAACAAAATAAAGTGTGGCGAATCCACCATCGGATATTCCACTAGGCTGTGCCCTGCCACATGCCATGGCTCCAGGAAACCATCAAGCTCGTCTTCCAGGACCAATTCACAGAGGGGCTCATTGCCCACCATGACGGGCAGGGACGGCTGAACAGGGGCCTCCTGCTCCACATCTTCTTTCAACGGGAAATGGTAGTCCAGGCCCTCAGCGTTGCAATCATACAGCCATGCTTGAAAACTCCCAAGGTACTGCAGTAGCATTTTGTGTAACTTCCTGCAGCCACGAACGACATCCACGTGCTCATCCTCTGGCATATTATATGCAGCCCCACGCTTCGCCAAAGCATCCGCCGTGGAGTTGCCCGTCTTCTCAAAATCAGACAACACACCTTCAATCACATCCGTCGATGTTGCATGGCCCTTCACATGCTTGAACGCCTGCCGATGAAACTCCTCATTCTGAGCAATCAACTTCCACACATTAGCTCTTGGACTGCCTGCTCCCACTGCCAGGCTAAGCGAACGACAGTCAGACAGCGTGCCTTTACAGTCTGAGAGCACCGTGCATGATCCAAGAACTTGCCTGCTAACAATCAACATCGCATAGTCCTCTCCACACTTGGCCACTTGCAGGGGGCACCTATCTTTTGGCACTGCGCCGTAGTGCCTGGCCACCATCCTGCGTTCATGGTCGTATACTACAACTGACCACCCAGCGCTTCTCCTGTACGGTCTGTCCGTATAGAACCCACTCCCGTATGAACAATTCCTTTACGATCCATGTCATAAAAGTGGTGTGCTGGGTTCCTGCTCGGATAAGCGAAAGCTTGAGCAGGGTCAGGAAGAAGGCCACGGCAGAAGAGAGTCTGTAGGGCCTCAGGGGCCTGCTTCATACGTTTGACTGCACTGTGGAGCTCCTTCGGGAGCCTCTCCTGCCTGAAGAAGTGGTACGCGTCGCACTCAAAGAACCTATGCTAGAACGTGCCTGGGCAACCTTGGCACCTCAAGCACACCGGGGGCTCCCCGCTGAAGGACTTCGAGACCCTGTACTGGCACCAGTGAGCCCCCGAGCACAGGCCCCTGAGAGACCTCCGTTCCCTTGGCGGTAACTTACTGCGCTTTGAATGCAAGACCTCGTTCATGGGTATCCACGGTAAGGGGCCTTGAGGGACTCGTGAGCCACCATCTGCGAGCCTGTGAAGAGCTTCCCTATCGATGTGCCTCCGAACCCCATGCTTGACCGTCGAGCTCAGTAGGGCGGGCGGAGTGGTCCTGAAGTCCCAAAGCTGCTCATCGTCATCTCTGATGGTGTGGACGTCCTCCCAAGACCACCCAATCCTGTGGAGCGAGAGGAGAAGCGCGGCAATCGGGTTTTTGCACTTGGCCCAGCGTTGTGGATCCAGTAGCAACGGCCTCGCTTCTTTGAGCAACTTGTCCACGACCGCCCATGTGACGGCCTGTGAATTCATGACGACAGCAAAGGTGTGGACCGCGTCCACCGTCGCAATGACCAAGGGGTCCTGCTGCCAGCCGCACTCTGCCGTCAGCAACGAAAGACCCACAGACGCGCCTGGCTTGTACTTGCCAACGTTCAAGTACGACATGCGAAGGGACTGGATCCTCGAACTTGCCACACCTTGGATACTGGAGCCCCAAAGAGATTTGGCCAGGACCCCTGCTCGATGCACAGCTGATCTTTGACGACCCAGTCCCTGGAGAGCTTTGACACGCACCCCTCGCTGCAGAGCCTCTGAGATCCTCGAAACCTGAGTGCTGATCCTCCTCATCCTTCCGTCAATGGCATCTCCCCCTAGATCTCTATGAAAGGCATCGCGACCAGGGCAAGGAACATCTTCTGGCCAAAGATCTCGCACATGCGCTCTCACTTTGCGGAGAACTTCATCATCGCTGCACAACAGACCACACTTGTCCCACGAAATCGGGAGCCTGCGGTCCTCCATGCCTCCTACCAGCATCGTTAGACCAGTAATCGCCTGATCGGCAACCTGAGTGGGCCCACCTATCACATGTAAGCTGATATCATCGATCAAATTCTTGATTCTGATAAGGTTACACTTAACCCCTATGCTCCTGAGCGTGGTGATCGTCATCAACTTAGCCAACCCTGTTGCGCATGAGCTACCTGCTATGATGGACCCGTTCGCGTTAATGACCTCCGAAACCGATTGTTGGTACACGGCCCTCCTAGGGCCTCTGTGCAATGCGCGCAAGGGCCTCAGAAGTGCCAGGGGAAAATCAGTATCCCTGGCAGCACGCGAAAGTTCTTGGTGGCTGACCATTTCATAAAACTTGCGGAGGTCCACAAACGCGCTAGAACTGACAAAGCCTAACTGGGGGGCCACAGCCGCAAGGGTGTTGTGAATCCAGGCGGACTTGTCACATGAGGTCTCACTAGAGGCTCCCCAGAAAAAATCTATCGGGCAACTTGGATTCCCAATTGGAGACCTGCTTGTGTCTCAATCTAGACCATATTCTAGCAAACAAGGGCAGCAGGCCTATGGGTCTTTCCCCCCTTGTGGTTTGGGGAGGAAGACGATGAGAATGAGCCATGTGTCAGTGAGCTCTGGCTCAGCTTCCCACCGGTGCAAAATCAGGATCAAAGCCGCTATGAGAGGCTCAGGCAACTTCTCAATCCACCTCGGGTGAAAGGAATCCCAGCCAAGACCAGTGTTGGGCCTAAACGACCCTAGGGCTGCTCGCACCGCTGCTGGCTCTAGCTCGGGAAGGGGAGCCGCGCCTGAAACATCCCAGGAAAGAGGGTGGGGCTCCAGGTCCCTGGACGGAAGCTTCCAAAGCGAGACCCAAGTCCCCAGCATGGCCTTCAAGGCCTCATGCCCCGCGACGGGCAGCGAGTCAGCAAGCGCTGGTTGGGAATTGCCCTGAGGGCCCCGAGCATGCTTATGAGCAAGACTCCCTCCTCTCTGGAACGCGAGATCTGAAAACTCCTTCCAAGACTGTCGAGCCGCCGACGCATCCTTGCTCGTTTGCTGCTGCACACGACGCCGAAGCAAGTCGCACACCTCAACACGAGAGTCGGAATCCTCAAGACGAGCAAGGAAGGCGGTATGCGAGCTTGGTGACACAGACTCCTGAGTCGACTCAGCCTCCTCCTCCCCCGAACCCGTCCAAACGCTACCGACCTCCTCCATGCGTGCAACAGCGCTGCTGAGCGCAGCATGCTTGTCTGGGGCCGTGGAGTCTTGCGCGCGGAGCCACTGCGTTGTCACTCTACGAAGCGTTAACCACTTCAGAGTTAACGCACTGGCCTTTCTTCTGGCACTTTTTCCCCAGGCGCAAGACAAGGGCACCTTTTTCCAGACGGCAACCAGCAGCGCGACCTGAATAACGGGGCCTGTCAAACTCGGGCAGCGCCGTGTACATGCGCAGATAAAGCTCACCGGAGGAAAACCACCTGCGCGCAAGACTGTCCACGGACCCCCCTGCAAGAATTTCGATACCTGGCCAGCCCGAGATGTCCCCTGGAACGAAAGCCCCCCCCTTTCTTTGGGAGCCTGAACGGTTCGGGCTGGATTCGCCTGTACATGAAATTATGGCTTCCCACCCCCGACATCCTGAGGACTGCCGCTTTGTGGGGCCCCACGGGAGTGTCATGCCGAAGGCGCATGCTACGGACAAAGGGCATTCGCACATCACTCATCACGAAAAAGTTTATGCAGCTGTCGTTGCACGTGGGCTGTTCTACGCGCGCAACCTCCGCGTGCAACAAGTTTTGAAAAACCATGCCGAAGAAAACTGTCGGTCCCAAAAAGCTCAGCTTCGATGTTCCAGTCGCCCGCAATGCAGAAGGGCAGGCACGAGGCCCGAACGGCCTCAATGAGAGCTCCCAAGAGCTTTACGTTTCCTTTAAGGCCCACCCCCACCTCCCCGTAAACCGAAACGAAGAGAATCTGCATATCTCCTAAAACAGTGCGCTGAAACTTAAGCCTGCTCTTGGGATGTGCACATGCTGGCAAATACTCTGCAACAGGAATGTGAGCACGCGTGCACAGGCCTACCCCACTAGACGTCGACAAAGCCGAACTGCCAGTGATCGCACGCGGTGACGCCTCCAGCCGATAGCCCCGAGCCCGAGCCCAAGCTTGACCGCGTCGGATCTGCTCGCCAGCTGTGAGGCGCAGCTCCTGCAGCACGAAACTGTCCGCCTGCAGCAACTGGTCCAGCACGCACCACTCCATGAAACTCTGAGCCGTGGCCCAGGAATTGCTGTTGTAGCAAACCACCGTGAACTCCGTGCTAGCCCCGAACGATTGGATCGGCTGCTTGTCACCAGCCACCTGAAGCTTGCTAAGCGCTGTGAAGGTAGAACTCCGACCGAGCGACTCCAAATCATGAACAGGAGCGGGCTCATGTAGTTCGCCAGGGCCGGGTGAATCTGTGTGTTGCCCCGCAAGTTGCCCAGCAGAAAGAGGCACCACTTCACCTGATGCATCTTCTCCGTTCAAATGCTCGCAAAGGCGCAGGCAGCTGTAATCAGGGAACTGCAGGCCGCCGTAGGTTACTTGTCGTAATCGATTGTCGTCCACTTCGCCCCCTTTGACCGCATCCAAGGACGCGAGGGGGCACTCAATAGTTCGGATTGTGTAGCCGCTTAGGTTTGAAGCCTCCTGCTGCCAAAAGACGAGCTTTGGCTCGAAGCTCCTCCTCTTCCTCAACTTCGCCAGCCAAGGAGCCGACATCCTTGCGCAGCTGCTCAACCTCGACCGTGTCGATGTTCCATGCTGCTGGGGGCGGCTCCGCTGGTTGACCACCGCTCGCTGCCACGAGGGCTCGCTTGTCGGGCGGCTCCTCCAGCAGCTCGGCCGCGCAGGATTTGAGCACCTCAGCCAGCTTCGGCGCCAGCTTGCTGGCGTCCGCGACGCCCTCCATTGCACCAAGCGCTGAAAGCAACTTGGCCTCATCCAACTTGATCTCTGGGCCCGTGCGATCCATAGACTGATGCTGCCCTGGCTCTTCTGCTGGCTGCGAAGAAGCGAGAGCGCGCACCTCCTCCTCCAGCTGCAAGCAGACCTTCTGGCGCTCCGAGACCACCACAGCAGCTGCTTTGGCCCCCTCCTGCGCCTTGAGCAGCTTCTGGTCCGCTGCCGCCTTGTCCTGCTCCGCCTTCTGGTAGCGGATGCGAGCCTGCTCAGCTCGGCGCGACAAGGCCGTGAGCTTCGCGGGCAAGGGCTTGTTCTCGTACAGCTTGCGACGAGCTCCCTCCAGCTGCTCGCGAACAGCCTTGAGCGGCAACTCCGCCCAAGGGGAGCGGACCGACTCCAGCCACTGCACATGCTTGCCGAGGCCGTCGATCTCATCACGTAGCTCTTGCGACTCAATTAGACTCCACTGCCGCGTCGCCTCCGCCTGTGTCAGGCGAACCACGCAGCTTCGCGTTCTCGGCCTCCAGCTGCTGCAGACGCTTCTCCAACGTGGCAAATGAGGCAGTAGTTGCATCATTGGTGCCGTCGGCCTTGCGCTTGCTCCTGCTGGGGAGGTCCGAGGGAACGACGCACTTGAATGCCACACCCTTGTGCAGCTTGAATTTGTAGCACTTCTCGTTGGTCCCGTAGTTAAGGAGAGGAGCCCCAATACGACGAAACGTGCAAAACTTGCACATCCAATCTTGCTTGGACTCCTGCTGCTGCTTACCACTCCATGCCCACGGCGCCGGCACCATGGCGACGTCTTTGCTGCGCGTTGGGCCGCCAGAGAGCCCCTGCGGTACTGGCTGAAAGAAAACACTGTCGAGCGCAAGCGCTCTGGCACTGCCGCGGATTAGCGGTGTCCAGTTCGGCACAAGGGCGCGGAGCCCTACCGTGCAGAAGTCTTGAGCCAAATGGCTTGAGCCAAAATGGCTACGGAAGACGAGGAGGAGGAAGAGGAGGAGGAGGAGGAAGAGGAGGAGGAGGAGGAGAGAAGGCTGGCTGCTGGGTGGCTCAATGGGCGGCGTTCGCCTCCGCGGGCACGGATGCTTTTAGTGGGCCTGACCGGGCAGGCGGAAACGGGGCTCCAGGAAACTTCCCGCGACGGAGAATCCCCACACCGACCACTGTGCCTTCGGGCGGGCAGGTCCATAAGCACCCCTGGTGCCTGGAAAGCCCGTGATGGAGGGGACAGCGGCCGTCAGGGGTGGGTGGGATGGGCCGGCAGACAGTCCGCACCTCAGCTGCCGGGGGTTTCGCCATGTCCCCCAGCCCCCACAATTAAGTCGGGCCTGTCCCTCTACAGGGTGAAAATTCAAAAATATTCTAAACATGTCTGGGGACTATTTTTTAAAACATGTTTATGATTTTTGTTGGGATACTTTTAATTTTCTTTGAAAAACCCCCATGTAGGGGGACAGGCCCGACTTAACCCCACAATCAGAACAGCGCGCGCGAAGCACCACTGCAGACAGGCAGACAGGCTGGGGGAACGAAGCCCCTCCCTGGGAAACTGCAGAAACTCGCAGCCCAGCCCAGCCTGGCTGACGTCGCCTCCCGTTGCCGCAGCGTCCCTGCGGAAACGGCCCCCGCGGAGGGAGCGCGCCGCCGGAAGGAGGAGGAGGGGAGGAGGACGACGGAGAGAATGGACAAGCGAGAGGGAGGGAAGGAGGGAAGGAGGGAGAGGGAGAAGGAGGGAGAGAGAGGACAGACGGAGAGAGGGAGAGAGACCGTGGAAGTGGCGGGGGCATCTCCAGCCCGTGAGCCTCACGCGAGGCCGCGGAAAACAAGCGCCTTCACTGGGCGTCAGTCCAGCGGTTGCGTTGGTCACCCCATCTTCTCCCGGCCTGTACCTTGCGCCAGGCCACCCTGTTTAGCGCACTCACGCTCAACAAGCTGTCCGCGCGAGCGGAGATTCATTCAACCGACGCCCTCGTCGCCTTCCTTGAGCGGCGAGGTCTAGGTCTCCACGCAGAGCCTTATGGCAAGCTCTGCGCTGTTGTTTTTGCGGCGTGTGTATGTGTACACGCTCGCGCATGTGTGTGTGTGTGTGGTTGTGTGTGTGGTGTGTGTGTGTGGTTCTGTGTGTGTGTGTGTGTGTGTGTTTGCGTGTGTTTGCGTGTGTTTTGTCTTTGGGGGTCTCGATGGCTAGCGCTGACCCGCCGGCCGCGCCCAAGCTCGCGCCTGGCCAGCGTTCAATTCTCACCCACGTGTGGGAGCTGATTGGGTCACCTTGCTCGACCCCCAGTGTGATGTCAAACTGCTTGCTCCTCAGTCTGGCCAGCGCGTTGCCCCCTGCTACAGGGCGTGCCGTGTTCGACTGTCAAGAGCTTTCTCGAAGTCCACCGTGCTTGCTCCAAGCTCCGCGTTGTGGCCCCTGCTTGACTCGAAAAGAAAGGCGCACGGCAAGCGGTCTGGCGCACTGAATCTCTGCCTGTAGGCAGTCTGGTCACCAGGTTGTTTCCGAGCGGTGGCTTCGTGAAAGTATCCCGCCAAGCAGATGGCTGAATTGGGGGGGAGAAGGGAGGCGGAGGCAGGAGGGGCCGAACGAGGCGTCAAACTCCGTGCACTTTGCGGAGCAGGACTTGACGACCATTCAGAGGACCATCGAGAGATTGAAGACCTCCAAGGAGAATATCCAGATTTCATCTCGTTCCAGATATACGACCCCCGGACCTGGTACGGCGGTGGCATACAGCACATGAAGGCCCATGTTTGCTTAGGGACCCGAATGCTAAGAGGCCCACTCCGGATTCTATAAGAAAGTGGGGGGGGTCACATTCGGGGGGGGGGGGTCTAATTTGAGCTATCTTGGAGGGTTCGGGGGGGTCTGGGCAAAGGGCCGCCCTTTCATGGATAGTCTGGGGGGTCTAAAACTTCTCGTCTGGGAGGGTTGTGACCCCCTCCCTTTTATTACGAAATCTGGAGTAGCCGAACAAGCCCGCCCTGTGCCCAAATACAGGCAGTACGACCAATATTGGCGGATCCTTGCCGATCAGCTTTCGGTCTGGACAAAAGGGCTTGTTGGGTTGTCCCTGTGACCCCGGACGTCTCGACCCCGTGCTTGAGACCCGCTCTTCATCCTATGGGCCGCTGCTTGCTGATCCCGGGGCCCGTCACCGTGCCTCCAGAGGCCGAGATCTGGGGGAAACCGGCTGTCATGACGAGCGAACAACTCACACCCATACCCATAGGAGGGTCGAAAAGAGGGGAACTGGCTATGGGTATGGGTGCGAGTTGTCGGACCCTGGGGGGAACTCCCGTTCGAGCGGGGACCCCCATCCGACAACACGCACCCATAGCCTCCTCCGTCCCCCCTATGGGTATGGGTGCGTGTTGTTCGATCGTCGTGTCATGTTCTTGGGCCACGGCGCCCAGAGGTTAGACGAAACGCCATGCGCAAGAAGGCAACAATACACCAAGTGCAGACAATTCTGTGCTGGTCTGCAAGGGAGTTTCCTCGGGTAGCTAAGCGACCACTGGGCGAGTTCTGGATATTCGACGACACCCGCGGCATGATCACCAGCGCCAACATGGACTGGAAGTCCCTGTCGCAGGTGAAGGATCCAGGAGGAGGAGGAGGAGGAGGAGGACAAAAGATGACGAGGAGGAGGAGGATCACAATGAACAAAAAGGGCCATAAGGGAAAAGGGTCCTGAGGTTTTTGCCCGCTGTCAGCATTCAAGAGCCCTCCGCAGGTTCTGGAATCCTTCAAAATCGATTCGGGACGAAAAGCTGGTCCCAGGGAAGCCCCCGGATGCCAGAATCCGTTCCACTCGGGTCTTCTTCTGCGGAGGATCGAAGGGGAGGATCGAGGAGGAGGACGAGGAGGAGGAGGAAAGCTTTGTGGATCGAAGATGATGAGCAGGAGGATCGAGGACTGAGGACCGAGGACCGAGGAGGGGGGGAGGAGGAGGGGAAGGGGCGGCAGGAGACTCAGACCTCCAGGAGTCAGGGGAAAAAACGTGGCATGTGCTGCTCAATTGTTTGGACGTTTCCAGTGGGAGTGCTGCAGGATCCGGGACGCTTTCCGTTACTTGGTTTTCTTCTATCCAGTAGGATATTTTTTTTGAGTTTCTGTGGGTGATGCGGAAGGGAGTCTTGATCGAGAGCTTCGACGTTGACTAAGCTTTGAGGGAGTCCCGAGCAGCCCCCTGTTTTGTGTTGGGTGAAGTCGCAAGACTTTCTTGGACACTTGTCAGGAGCCTCCCATGTGCCTCTCAAGATCCTCATCTTTATCCTCTCGCCCTTATCCTGCATATAGTTGTGGGTCGTCCTTATGAGTTATTTGTTGTGAAAACCCTGCATCCTTGACTTATCCATGTCATAGTCTTCATCCCCACCACTTCGCAATCTGCAGACCCTTATCCTGTGGCTTTATGGGGAGGAGTAGGTGGAGGGGGGCGAAGGATAAGGAGGATCGAGAAAAAAAGGATCGAGGAGGATTGACGGGAGGATAGAAGATCGAGGAGGACAGGGATCGGGGTGGAGGAGGAATTCCAATCAGTTAGACGATGTGGCAATCCAACTTGCACAACGGAGTGTGTTGGTAGAGCCCCCTGAACATATGGGTCTGCTTGTTCGTGACCACTGCCATTCCGAGTTGCCGCCTTGAGGGTCGGTATGATTCATTCAGGTAATTGATCGATGACTGGCAGCATATTGCTTCAAGACTGCGAGCCGATAACACTCGACGCATACCAGCAAAATTCGTCAACTGTGGGGATTCGCCGAGGAAGACGCCGACGCGAAAAAAAATAATGATTCACTGACGATCGGGACGCCAGCGGAGATGAGGCATGCTAGTACTTCGAGAGCGGGATCTGGTGGTCTTGGAACGCAGAGGACATGACCAGAAACAAAGACACGAGCGAGTCTTGCAAAGGAAAGGGCAAACACAAAGGGCCCATGCGTTACAAGTGTCGATGATGCGGGCGCGTCGCCAAGAACTGCGCCACCAAAGGGGCCCCGAAAAGGAAAGGAGGCGGAAAAAGGGATGACAAACGTGCCAGAGGTGACCCGGGCATGTAAGCAGGATACAAGCAAGAAAGGAGACCAAAGCAGCAAGTGTCACCCAGGCAGGGTCGAGCAAAGGAGGCAGCAACGGAGACACCCACGGAGGTCACCAAGGGGTCCAAGCCTCAGGTTGGAAAGGAGGAAGTAAAAGAGGACACGTGCCGACTAACGAGCGGGAGTGTTACGAATGTTGGGAAAAAGGGCCGCATCGCGGCCCTCTGCCCAAAGAGCGCCAACGAAGTTCCCCCCAACCTATGGGCACAGGAGGACCAGGAGAGGCAACCCAGTTGTTACGACAGCCGCTACTGGGGTCAGGATGTTACAGTGTTGAGCTGAGCGAGGTCACTGGCGCCACAAACGCACCGAAACCGCTGGAGTTGGTTAAGAGAGACCAGGACTGGAAGAGACGCAGTACCAGAAAACGAAGAGGAGGAACAGGGAGGCAAGGTCAGGGCCCAGGAAGAATGATGGGTTGCGCGAGTGTGGCGCTACACGCAACCATGGTACTGCTGGGGACAGCAGATCTTCATTTTGCAGTGAACGCGAGAAAGGTTTGATTCAAAGTTAATGCAAATTTAGAGTTAGCGCATATGAGTGGATTTGATGGGGAGGTTTAAGAAGTTCCAGTGTTAAACCACACATGATCTGGAGCATACAATACAGTTGCACCCCCAAGCGTGGGAGCTAACTTCCTTGTTCAACCGAACGAGGCCTCCAACAGCGAACAACATGACAGCGCAGCGAATGGGTCAGTCAGCAGGAACTATGGGCAACGAGTTATCTTGGGAAATGTCGAGGGGGTCTTTGGTGAGCACGCCTACCCAGGTACCTGGCGTCAAGAAGGTCTTCGGCTCTGCTCGTGAGTGAGATGGCTGGAGCGGGAATTCCCGCAGCGTTCGATCGAGATGCCGATGGGCGATCCTGCAGTTAGAGCACAGGGCGATTGGCCAGGTAACGACGATCTAAGAGAAAAGGACAACGTCCAGTTTACCACGCAGGCACTTGAAGGAGTCGCGAGGCAAGAAATGACCGGGGATGTAGAAGCAGTTCACAGGGAAATGAAGAGGCGATTTTACCTAACAGCGAAGACTGATAGGTTTCTAGTGGTCTCAAAAGAGCTCACAGATCACTCCACAGGGGGGTCCGGGCAGGTGTTGGGGCGTTTCCGGGCGGCATGAGCCGGGCTCGTTTTTCACCAACAGTCACACACTTCGTGCTCTTCGCCTTCCCAGAACTCCATTCCCAGGCCACATTCTGGGGGGCCGGATGCAACTGTAGGCCACTTCGTGCTCTTCGACATCCCAGAACGCCATTCCCGGGCCACATTCTGGGGGGCCGGATGCAACTGTAGGCCACTTCGTGCTCTTCGACATCCCAGAACGCCATTCCCGGGCCACATTCTGGATGCCCGGAGCCAACTGTAGGCCACTTCGTGTTCTTCCATTTCCCAGAACTCCATTCCCGGGCCACATTTTGGATGCCCGGAGCCAACTGTAAGCCACTTCGTGCTCTTCGAGTTCCCAGAACTCCATTCCTGGGCTACATTTTGGATGCCCAGAGCCAACTCTAGTCCACTTCCTGGTCTTCGAGTTCCCAGAACTCCATTGCCGGGCAACATTTTGAATAGCCAGACGCTTCATATTCCTTCCGCCACAGCTGTGTTTGGTTCAGGACTTGCTAGTGACACTGCAGTCCTCTGCATTCAATTGGCCACTACATTCATTCACTGCAGTCCACTGAGTTTTGATTGCAATGGCGTTCCCCTGGCCGTACCCCCATGTCCAACGTTCATCCGCAGCCTCTGCTCCGCGAGGCTCGTCCGAAGTGTCGCCGCCTCGCGGTGCTTCTCAGCCTGCGCCGCCTCGCGGTGCTTCTCAGCCTGCGGAGGAAGGTGGACAGACGCCTGGTTCTGGCGCTGTGCAGCCTGCGTCTTTCACGGTCGCCTCGTTCAATTTCGGGTTCGAGCAGGGCATGATGACTGGTAAGCAGGCGGCCACTCACTGCGCTAACTTCGGAAGGTTGTGCGCCAAGATAGTGGAGACCGCTGATGCTGATATGGTCTGTGGCTGCGAGGTCGGTGCGTTCCGTGAAGGCTTTCGCCGAGCAGGGATCAACGTGACAGAGATCCTCAGTAAGCCTTTCGGTGATGGCATTCGCTTCTTGGAGGTCGACAACTACTTGACTCTCTGGGGGTTCCGCGGTGCTTCTCAGCCTGCGGAACTGACTCTGTGCGAAGACAGCAAAGTTTACAGGCCTCCTAGCGGCCGAGATATTGATGCTGTTATTTCACATTTTGAGGTGAACAAACCAGGCCATGACAAGTTCCACGTGGTGATCGCCAACATGCACATCGTGTGCGGCAAGAAACCGCCGAGCATCCAGACTCGAAAGCGGACAGTTCGCCATCTCCGCTTGCACCTGGACGGCCTGGCCAAGATTCTTGAGAATCTAAACGAGGCAGTCGTTGTGCTTGTAGTCGGCGACGACAACCTCACTTTCCAGGAGGCGCGGGAGGCTTACCAGCGCGAGCAGAACGACGAGAAGGTATGGGAGGTCCATGCCACTCCGGCCGACCTCAAAGGCGACCACGTCGCGGTCTGCGGAGCAGTCGCCCGTTTCTGCTCCATTGCCGTTGGCGCGTCTTTTACGGATCGTGGCATGCGCAACGACGCACACGATGCGGTGGCGGTTGTGCTCACTCTCCCTGGTGCTATTCAGCCTGGGGAGAGCAAGAGGCGGAAAATTGTCGTCGAAAACGTCTCCGACGCCGACGTCAGCGTACAGGCGGACCGCGAGTCTTCTGTGCATTGGGATCGGTCGCCGAGTTCTGCTCCTCCGCTTTCACCGACTTCACCGGGTGATCCCGACTACGTCGAGGATGTCGTTCAGAATCGCGCGGACGACTTGCACAGGGAGCTGAGGCAGCTTTGGGACGACAGGTACGACGAGGAGTACGATCCGAAAGTCCTCCATCATCTCAGTCTCTTGCTTTTCAAAAAGAGGAAGTCCACGGAGCCAGCGGACACTGATCCAGCTGGCGCTCCTCAGCCTGGCTCGGAATATGACACGGCCTTTGCGTCTCAGGAGGAGACTGGCCGAGCCATTCTCTCTGTCCTTAAGCTTCGACATGACTTTCTGCGGAGCAAGAACATCGACGACATGCGCTACGTTCTCACGGAGCCTGAGCGCCAGGAATTGGTCAGAGTAGCTCGCGACCAGTACGAGCAGTCGCGGCAGCAGCGTGCGCTTCAGGAACGGGATATCGAAAAGGGAAAAGCGAAAGGCAAGTCTGCGCCACAAGGGGGCCATGCGGTTCCGCAGGGTCCGAACAAAGGGCCAGGCGGTAAGAAAGGTTCTCACGGTGCTTCTCAGCCTGCGGGAAAAGGTGGCCAGGCCAAGGGTGCAGGTCTGGGTAGCGTCGCCAAGTTTGTGAAAGACCAGAAGCGTAAGCGGTGGCATCGCCATTTGCAACGTGTGGCCGGTACCAAACAGATCTGGGAGGTGCTGGCCTTCTCAGGGCGCTTCGACGTTGATTGGTTAACGCAAGCGTTGCAAGCTGATCACAGTGAGGGCCGTGATGCAGCAGTTCCCGAGGAAGCTCTGCGGCAACAGCGGCGCCGGCTGCACCACCAGAAGGCCGAGGCCATCGCGCGCTACAACGAGGGGGAGCGGCTTTCCCTCCATCTGTCTGCCCAGGCTGGCCAGGCAAAGCCGAACTTCACGCGCAGGCAGCTGGACGTGTTGCAGATGTTTGAGAGCGGAGCGCTGCTTCAAATCCGCAACCAAGCGATTCTGGCGTGCGGGCACGGCCGTCTGTTCAGGGGCGATGGCGACTACCTGGACATCGGCGGCAGCACGGGCGGTGGCTCCAGGCGCATCATCGATTCTTGGCAGCCGCCGGACTGGCGTGACTTCCTCCAAGACGATCAGGACATCTGAGTTTTGCAAGTCTCTCTGCCCGCGGTGCTTCTCAGCCTGCGGTCTGCCGCTCTCCAGCTGCGGTCTCGAGCAGTAGTGTTCGAAAGCATGCGAGTTCCTGCGGTGCTTCTCAGCCTGCAGGTTTCGCAGCCTGCGCTCTGCAGTACAAGTGCTTTTCAGCATGCGACATCCTGCGGTGCTTCTCAGCCTGCAGGGTTCGCAACGTGCGGTTTGCAATGCATTCCTTTTCAGTATGCGAGTTCCTGCGGTGTTTCTCAGGCTGCAGGGCTCCGAGGCTCTTCGCTTCGATGCCAATGTTTTCAGACACCGTAGCTCCGTTCCGTAAACGTCTTCCAAGAGCCGCTCGCAACCTTTTGCAGCTGGCTGTCTGCACGCTTCGCCGGCTTTTGCTGCGCGGACAATTTTCTCACACACGTCAGCGCCGTTTGTAGGCGTCAGAAAAACATGTAGACATTCACGAAGGGCTCAGTCTGTATATCGTCACATCATTACATACGCAGTCGTCGAACACATCGGTGTACATTCAGCGCTTTGTCCTTCTACAGCATTCTTTCCGTTGATAACAGTGTTCTGATGGGTTCGCTTCGTTCTAAAAGCGTTGATAGCAGTGTCTCGTTTGCGGACAACTCATTCTATATCAACTCACTGATACCGAGTTTCCTTTCACCATAAGTGAATGCATACCAGTGTATGTTGGTTACTACAAAAGTGGGTTCCTACAACCGACTTCATGATCGCTATCATCATCGCAGATTTCACTCATCCTCATCACCACGACTGGTTCACGTTGGCCTGCGGTGCTTCTCAGCCTGCAGTTCCTTTCGTTACACTGTAGTTGAAGCCGTTCATGGCAGTGACTCGTTTAAAGACAACTTTAGTATTGGGGGAAGTGTCGATAGCAGCGTTTCTTTTTACTTATACAAGCGTTGATAGCAGTGTCTCGTTTGTGGACAACTCATTATATATCAACTCATTCATACAGAGTTTCTTTTCGCAGCAAGTGAATGCACAGCAGTGTATCTGCATTACTGGCCCCCACTCCATTATCACTATCATCATCAACGATTTCCTACACGCGTGTGCGCGGCGGTCGCCATGAGTGAATAGTTTGCAGAGACTTCTCGCATTGATACCCATGGGTCACTTCAGAGTGAACTCATTTGTGATCTTCTTTCATTGGAAGTTGAATCGGTTGATGGCAGTGCCTCGTTTAAACTCCACTTTGGTATTGCTAGTAGTGTCAATGCCAGCGTTTCTTTTTAATTGTGCAAGCGTTGATAGCAGTGTCTCGTTTGTGGTTAGTTATAACAGCGTTGACAGCAGTGTCTCGTTTGCGGACACCTCATTGTACATCAACTCGCTGATACCGGGTTTCCTATCAACACCATCATCATCATCCTTAACCATGTTTGCTCGAGTTTCACCTGGCCGTCCAGCCGCGGCGGTGCTCCTCAGCCTGCCTTGTCACAATGCCAGCACGCGGCAAGGCATCGCCCCCGCCACCCCCGGCCCCGTGCGATGGCCCGTGGGAGATTCTGCCGGATCCGCCCGCACCGACTCCTCAGCCAGGTGTCGACGTGGTCTTTGAGCAGGCTCACCTCGAAGACATCCGCCGTACACCAGGGATGGGCGGCAAGACCGCCTGCCAGTGGCAGCGCGCGCTGCGCGCCGAGTGCATTGTCAACAACTTGTCGTTCAAAGACGTAACAAACGACCCGTCCTACGACTGGAAGCAACTGCTTCGGTCTGCCGCTCCGGGTTTCGCTGAGCGCATAATCGGGCAGGGCATCGCCCAGGTTCTCTTTCGCATCATCGAGACAGAGCGCGACCCTAACTACTCCAACACGGATGGCCACGGCAGGCACTTCTTCGAGTTCCGTCGTGCAGACGGTTCAGCCATGCGCCTGCATTACCATAAGAACGGCCGA